TCGATGGGCTGAATTGCACAAAACGCATGATCGCACCAGCTAGTCTGGTGCGAGTTGCCATTTATTGATAGATATTTTGAGTTGGTGACCACTACGATTGGCAGCTAGGACTTTCTGTTGTTGTGTGAAAACATGGAATGTGAAAATTGAGATTTTACTGTCTAGGACAAACATGACTTCGGCTCATTTATCTGTGTGTGTAAATACAGGCTCGCTTATCTGGGTAACTAAATTAGCACTTCCTGCTTTCTCACAACTGTCACTATTCGACTGTATCCCTCTCATCGGGGGCCTGTAGTGCATCTTAACAAACTTCCATAGTTTGCATCTTAAAAATTTCCAAAACGCTTCGAATTATCTATCAGCTTTTCGGGTTAATCTGTTCTTTTATAACAGGTTGTACGAGTGAAGCCTCAAGCAATACATGGAAAGAAAGATACACGCTTTGCGCAGGCACTGGATAGCCAGCAGAATAGCATTCAAGTTAGAGATACTGTGCGAGTAGTGGATGGACCCTATGCTGTAAGTTTGTCTTAATAATTTCACAACTTCTTGAAAAAGTGTCCAAAAAAGCACATTTTTACACTTGAGCACTTCATGATAATTACAGCTTCGAATTCTTCACACAGATTTATCGGTTAATTGCATCTCTGCAACACTGAGAGCTTTGCAACAAACACTTAAACGACTGTAACTTTTCACAGCATCCATTCAAGTAGTTACAGTTCAGCGGTATTGACATCCTCATATTGACAATCCTGATCATTCATATAGATAATATCTTTTGTTTTCCGTTTTTTCCCAAAATGAATTTGGAATTTTTGCACAATTTAGAAGCAGAAATCAAACTACAGCTTAAAGCCATCTAGTAAATATATATTTTTTGTGAAGAAGTTAACGGCCCCGGGAAGTTTGGAAAAAAAAGCTTTTTATTTTCAGAATCGTGGTGATGCGGAAGATGAGAAGCAAGGTGAAATCAAACACATCTATCGATCCTATGCATTTATTATGTCCAGAAAGCACATGGAAAATGGTGGATTGTTTGTTTGCAAGCCAAGGCATTTGCTTTTGGTCGGTTCGAAAGCAAACATGAAAGGTTAGTGGGAGAGAGAGAGAGAAGGAAAGAATAGGTTTTTTTTTTTCCTGCCGGCAATCTTTCTTTTTTATCTTTGATATATCCAGTGCAACTGTAGTTGTGCACCTGGCAAATTTCGGTTCTGTAGTTGTGCAGCTAGCAAATTTTCCATTTGCTTTGACCGATGCTGCGCCACTTGATGGACAGCCTGATAGCATTCTTGATCTTAGTTTTTCTCCTAAATGGATTACCAACTCAGCGATTCTCCCGATGGGAACACACGGCAAAACTTGCCGTTTCGAAAATGCCCTTGATGTGTGTTGAGCGCCACCACCTCCTGTCGAATGTTATTTCTTCCAGAACACAAAGAGATATTTCTTTGACCAGGAGTATCCTTGATATATAAAATTTTTTTTACCATTTTTCTCGTTTTCAGTGTTTTTTTTTTAGTTGGTGATTTTACTGTGAAAGGAATGGCAACGCCTGATCCATTCTCGAGTCCTCGTCATGTTGAATTGGGTGGGCAGACTCCTCGTCCTGGCAATATGTCAAGCGGAAGAAGCGTCCGGGGTGGCGCAACACCCTCGCAGCATGGTAAGTCAACGATGTAACAGTTTCATGTTGTTCACGTATTAAAATCTTATG